AAAAAAAACATCACCCTCAATTTGTTTAAAAGCACGAGATCGGGATGGTAAGTGGGTCAAATCCTCCACGCTCGCAGAAGACACCCAAACAATCCCAGGATTTGCGAACAAGCAGACGGTCTGATCTAATATGCCGTCTACTGCTGTGCCAGAAGTTTAGTTTAGGAGAAAGGGAACGGGTGGAGCCTAAAGCAAAACACTGTATTTCTGACTAACTAATGCTGTCAAAGATGGTTGCTATGGTTATTCAATTCAATTCAAATTCAATTCAGATAACTTTATTTATCCGTGAGGAGCTTCATTTACAGATGAAGCACCAGTGGGGTTTACTATGTTAACATTATCTTCCTTATTTTTTCTTTCATTCTCCTGTTTTGCAACATTTGATTGCTTTTTAGTTTTTTCTTCCCTTTAAATAAAAAATGTAAATGCTAATAAAAAAAGAAATAAAAAAGGCGATTTGAGGTGGGGAGGAAGCTAGCCTAGCCTTAGCCATCCTTAAACTCCGTGTCATTTATTATTTCCCTACATGTACGAAATGAAGTTTGTACAAAAGTGTGGTAAGACCTGGCCTGGCCTTAGCCATCCGTACTCTCCGGTCAATCATCAAATCCCTGCATGTAACATTTGGGTCTGGTCCCTGTGTTTGTGATTACAATCGGTTGAATTCCATCCGACCAATCAGCAAGCGCAGGAGGCGGGTGTTGTAGTTAGTTGTAAGTGGCGTCAAGAGTTTGCGCCGGACGGGCAGGTTGTAGTTTGGCAATGGCGAAGAATGCGATTGTAAAGTAATCCGTTCTGGTTCTATCAAGAAATTAAAGCCGGAGCAAGAGGAATATTTAGCAAAAGTCATTGCTGGCAAAGATTGTGGCGCTACTCCCCACGAGCTCCGTTAGCATTTAGCCTAGTCAGCTCCTTTGCAGCTAACGACTCACTCGGGCGCATTACATACGTGACGGTAAACTCAGATCCAATAGTTTCAATCTACCTCTTAACGGAGCTCGCACCTCCAGATCTTAGTACGAAATGTAATTTGTACTATGGTGTGGTACAACCAGGCTAGGTAAGACCAAACTAGGAGGAAGCTGGATGTGGCCCTTTTTGTTTTAGAACGGGAGAGACCCTTCAAAACAAATTTCCAGATAATTATCATGAGACGCACTCAAACTCGCGAGGCATTGATTCGAGTGAGATTGCATTATGTTAAAAAGTACACCGGAACAGCGGCAAAATGGCGATCCTGAAATGGAAATTCCGGACCGCAGGATTCTCCAGAGAGGTTCCCGCTTGATGAGCTATGAGCCATTTCCAATTGACTTTTATCAAAAATGATGGGCATGTTTTATGGAGCCTGTAGAAAGCATGGTAGTGTAAATATTTAATGTCAAAATGGGCATTAAGGTAAGCGTAGGTGCCAGTTATGGGCGATCAGAAACAAAAGCACAGGCAGGAGAAGTTGATGCAAAGTGGCTCTTACAAGAAGTGTGAGGGCTGACGCAGACTGACGGAGGGAATCAGCAACATTACAGCTTGTTGCTTTATCGGCTCGCAAGAATACTCTCATGTGGGAGATTGAATGTGATCGTTGGCTTGGTTTGCCCTGGACGATAATCAAAATGTACAACTGAAACTTTTGGCGTAATTAAGTAAGACAGCATCTACCCCCACATGCTCCATTCAGGTCAAAAAAAGAGTGCTCATTGCGTTTGTTTCATTTTAGATTCAGATTCATTTAATTGCAATTTGCATTAAAACCGCACTGGAATGCTGTACACTTGCAAAAGTCCCCAGTGCGCAAGAGAAGTACATAACCAGGTCAAATGTGCAGGATAATTGCAGGACAATTAACACTGTGAAAACGAAAGTAAAACAGTTTCAATCCAATTTAAGTATACAATGAAGTGTTATGTAACTTCACTTTTACTCCTAGAATTTGTTGTTGTAGTAGTAGCAGCAGTGGTAGTGGTAATGGTAGTGGCAGTGGTAGTAGTAGTAATATTATTGGTAGTAGTAGTAAGAGCAAGAGCAGTAGTAGTGATATGTGGTATAGCAGTAGCATTAAGTACAGCAGCAATCGTAGTCGTTCTAGTAGTAGCAGCAGAATCGATAGAATAAATACATACATCTAAAAGTTACTAACAATAGTAATAAAGTGCACATGTTTAACCCATACAGTATTCACCCCCCTTGGCATTTTGTGTGTTTTGTTGCCTCACAACCTGGAATTAACATGGATTGTTATTGTTTGAGGATTTGCATCAGTTAATTTACAGAACATGCCCACAACTTTGAAGATGTTATCTTTTTTTATTGTGAAGCAAACAACAAATGGGACAAAATAACAGAAAAGGTCAATGTGCATAACTATTCACCCCCCTAAAGTCAATACTTTCAAGTCAATACTTTGGCACCTTTTGCGGCAATCACAGCTCCAAGTCGCTTTGAATAAGTCTCTATGAGCTTGCCACATCTTACCACTGGGATGTTTGCCCATTCCTCCTTGCAAAACTGCTCCAGCTCCTTCATGTTGGATGGTTTGCGCTTGTGAACAGCAATCTTTAAGTCTGACCACAGATTTTCTATTGGATTGAGGTCTGGGCTTTGACTAGGCCATTCCAACACATTTACAAAGTGTTGCTTTAACAGAGTGGTACAGGTTTTGCTTAAGAATATCCCTGTATTTAGCACCATCCATCCTTTCCCTCAACTCTGACCAGTTTCCCAATCCCGGCTGCTAAAAAACATCCCCACAGCATGATGCTGCCACCCCCATGTTTCACTTTGGGGATGGTGTTCTTTGGGTGATGTGTTGGGTTTGTGCCAGACATAGCGTTTTCCTTGATGGCCGAAAAGTTCAATTTTAGTCTCCTCAGACCAGAGCACCTTCCCCCATACATTTTGGGAGTCTCCCACATGCCTTTTCGCAAACTCAAAACGTGCCATTTTGTTTTTTGCTCAAAGTAATGGCTTTCTTCTGGTCACTATGCCATAAAGCCCAACTCTATGCAGCGTACGTTTTATTGTCGTCCTCCTCTGTACAGATACTCCAGTCTCTGCTGTGGAACTCTGCAGCTCCTCCAGGGTTACCTTAGGTCTCTGTGCTGCCTCTCTGATTAATGCCCTCCTTGCCCGGTCTGTGAGTTTTGGTGGGCGGCCGTCTCTTGGCAGATTTGCTGTCGTGCCATGTTCTTTCCATTTGGTTATGATAGATTTGATGGTGCTCCTGGGGATCATCAAAGATTTGGATATTTTTTAACCTAACCCTGACTTTTACTTCTCAACAACACTGTCCCTTACTTGTTTGGAGAGTTCCTTGGTCTTCATGGCAGTGTTTGGTTAGTGGTGCCTCTTGCTTCGGTGTTGCAGCCTCTGAAAGCCTTTCAAAAAGGTGTGTACAGTATATGTGCTGCCAGATCATGTGACACTTAGATTGCACACAAGTGGACATCATTTCACTAATTATGTGACTTCTGAAGGTAATTGGTTGCACCAGAGCTTTTTATGGGCTTCATAACAAAGGGGGTGAATATGCACATGCCAATTTCCAGTTTTTTATTTCTGAAAAATAGTTTTATGTATATATTTTTCTCAATTCACTTCAACTTAAACTATTGTTTTCTGATCAATCACATGAAATTCAGATTAAAAAACATTGAACTAAAGGCTGTAATGTAACAAAATAAGTAAAAAGCCATGGGGTGAATACTTTTGCAAGGCACTGTATGTCTCAAGTCAAAAGAGACATTGGCCTTTGGGCCTGAAGGTCGTGGGTTTGAGCCCACCACGAGACCTACTTCACAACTCCCACTGATGACTACTGTCGTTGTGTCCTTGGGCAAGACACTTAACTCCACTTTGCCTGAAGCTCCTGCTGAAAGATCTCAGCTCCTGTGGACTCACCACCTGCAGGAGGATCAGTGAGGGGCTGGTGCCCTGTGTACCGGGTACAGCTCTGACTGCCACTCCCCCCCAACCCAGAAATGGATTAAGGGGAAGAAAACCGATGGATGGACAATTCCATTTATTTTTGTGCCCCACAACCATGGAATTTACAAAGTTGTTGATTTGGCAAAAATATATCAGATAATCAGTTCAAACACAGGAAATATAATAATAACAATCACATAGGGATGACCAATGTCTATAAATGGTAATGAATGTCCATAAATGCCCTAAATGTCCCAGACTTTCACTGTACTCAGACCCTCCTGCATCGGCGACGACTCAAAAAAAAGAAAAAAAGAAACCCAGTGTTCCTTTGACAAATATTCAAAATATACCAAAATCAAATCAAATTCAAGTGCTTTTTGTGTATCTTTAGTCCCTTTGCAAATAACTTCTACAACCAGAGTCTTTGCGTTTTGCTAGTTGCTTACCTACTTACTTACCTACTTACTTAGTTGCTTAGTTGCGACGATCCGATTTGTGATTGTGTAGCCCTAGTAATAAAACAATAATAAAACACTTCACACATTCACACAATATCTTCCATCAAATTGCGCAGCTGTACTATTATTAGCCTATGCACATGTGTTGAATAGTTTGCATAAGCAGTGAGAGTGGAGACAGACAGAGTGGTCAGGTGAAGAGCGGAGAGGAGGAAGAGGAGGAGGAAGAAGAGGAGGAGGAGGAGGAGAAGCTTGCGCAGCATAATTAGCCCGGGCTGCTTGGTTACCTTCCAAACAAAGCTGCTGATTTGTGGAGCGCACAAGAGGAGAGGAGGCTGAGGGGGACGGGACCGTGAGCGCACCGACACTTCTCACTCTTCTGCCTCTGACGAAGAGCGCACGGGACACAACCGAGATCTATCTCTCTCTCTCCGACAAAAAGAGGACTCTATAAGGAGAACGTTTCCACTTCTTCACCTGCATTGTAGACGTGCAGAGGAGCCCAAAAGGATGCCACGTCCAGAGCAGAGAGAGGGCAGCTGCTGACAGTGCACCGCGGTCTGTGCCACACCTCAGCCACACCCGCCCCGGGACAGGATAGGACAGGAGAGGATGAAGAAGCACTCGGCTCGGGTGGCTCCACTCAGCTCGTACAGCACCCAAGTCCTGACCTGCCCTGTGGCCGAAGGTAAGGCCCAGGGGTCGTGTTTATACATGTGCACAAATGTGACAAATGGAAAAGCAGAATGTAAGCTTTGCAAAGAGTTTGTGCAAGTTTTTGTCAATAAAACAGAGTTAAAGCTGGGGTACCTAAATTTCAAACACACACACACACATTAAACCATGTAATCAAAGCCATCTAACTAATTCCTGGCTCTAAAAAAGGTTTTGTTCTAGTTTCCGCACGCCCCTGTCACAATTAGATCAACTTTATCAGATGGAAAAGTGAAGAAAACAGGACCACCTTCAATAGGAAGTTATTTGGAAGTTACTCAGAATTTCTTGGTGTAAATAACTAGTAATTTAGTATAAAAGAGTGTGACCTTATAGCCCCCATGTATATCCCAGAAATACAAGCACAGTTGTTTGTTTATTTTTTACTGCTGACCTACTCTCAGCTCATTTTAAATAATTGTTTAGAAAAGTTGCTAACTTCAAATAAGTACTCCTCTGTATGTTTGAGACAATATTGGCTTGTTGAAAGTAAAGTGACCATTTGTTCCAGACGACATGAACTTATTTTAAATCTATAACTGACCCACTTTTGCCCACTTTGATCTACATTTGGTTTGACCTGTGCTAAAACATGCAAACTGACCATAGTGGAGGGAGTCTGGCCCATTCATCGCTGCAGGCTGTAAAGTGATGAACTATAGGAGGAATTGTGTGGTGCGGCAATGTACTCTGTCTCATTAAATACTGGAATACTTCAAATGCTTTATATGTGCAGCAATGAAAATGAGAAAGCTGACTGTAATATTTGGCTTACAGTATTAGTCGCATCATTTACTCATTGGTGGGGGCACCGGTGAATCTGTGCTTCTCTGTACATTGGTGTTTGTGTCTAATGTGTCTATAATGTGGACGTAGAGTCTGAATTTGTGGAACGAACTCAGTGAGGACTTGAAACTGTTTAAGTTTGACCCAGTGTTTGACCCAAGATATTTAAAAAAGTAGTACCTGGATGAGAGAACATGATACCTTTATGTAATTGTGTTTGCAGGAGGGTTCTGTAGGGTTGGTGTGTATTGGGCCTGTGTGTTTTCCTGTTTGTATACACCTGCAGGTTTGAAATAAATGAAATGAAATAGGGAAATTATGGATACATGTTTTTGTATGTCACATGCTTTGATAAGGACGTCGGAAAGAGGGTTGAAGTTCCAAGGTTTTCCAGTGTTCCCCAACCTTTCCCCCCAATATCAGCAAAAACCGATACAAAAATGAAACTCTACTGCCTTTCTTAACAATACAAAGTCATTTTTATCAAAATGTTTTATATAGAAAATCAAAAAAGTTCCAAAATAGTCTTTCTAATCCTCTACATCTCAAGCCACACTAAAGTGCCACAGCCCACTGGTTGAAAAACACAGTATATTGAAGCTAGCACATATGCATCAGTGAGTGAATATTGGAGGCAGTAGTGGACAGGAACATTCACAGGTGAGCTTCAGATTGTTTGGTTTAGGAGACTAACTCATAAACAGCACGTCCCCCTCATTATCTCCATGTCGTCAATAATACATCCATTCTTTTCATATATTTATATATTTTAAGAACGCGTATATTTTTATTTTACTAAAAAAGTTGACAACACAACAACAAAAATGCCAAGAGGATTTGGACAAAATGTTGGACACACAAGGGCCTAAAATACAAGAATATGATAAAAATATGGTTCGAACCCAACTGTTTTTGAGTCAGAAACTAGTAAAATATTTGCCATTACTTAGATCTATTGTTAGTAGTTATAAAGTTAGGTGCCCCAGCTTAAATACCAATGTAGTATTTGTAGTAGTGCCATAGAGGAGCTCACCATTACCTCTGCAGTATTTTCGCCACCACAGTCAGCAGAATTCCCGGGGCTGTTTTGGCTGGAGAGGACTTGCTTTATGAGGCTGCAGGGAAATCGTAGAGTTATAATATTTCCGCATATTGGCACCAGCTCAAACTCCGCCATCAGTAAAGACAACAACGGCATTTCTTCTCGAATAGTAACAAATGTGGGGAGATAGTAAAAGAAAAAAAAGAGCAGGGTTTGTTGAGATTTACAGTCTGAAAGCAGAGCCCTCATTAAGCCGATGAAGGATTCTCGCTGTGACAGAATGTAATTAGGTCGATAATCGGGAGGAGAAGATAAACTTTTCTGCATATTGCACTAAACGCTGAGAATGTGTGTGTTGCAGGAAAAGGAAAGTTTAAAGTTTTGATGAGATTATGTAATTCTCAAAATGACTGAGATTCACTTAGATGCTGCCAGATTATTTAAAAATGCATATACTGTTTCTTCTTCATGACCACATTTATTTTATCAAGTGCAACAGAAGTGCCCAGTTCTCCGGCGTTTTCAATTTTTTCCTCTAGATTTAATAAGAAAGTTTTACCTTACAGTAGCACTTAGATATAATCAAGCTACAGGACTTGCTCTCCCTAATATTGTAGTATTGAGCCAATAGAAATACTCAATCAATATTTCTTGACCAAATGGGACAGTATGTAATTTTTGGGACTCATCATATCATAATTTTCTGAACAAAAACATAAAAGTTGTGTTATTTTTTTGTCTAAAAATACAATATACTACAGTACTAAGTTATCCAATCAGAGAGCAGAATGAGTCCCTCATTTGGGTTGCCAGTTTGTTAGATGAAATGTAGCTGGTCTTGACACTCTAGGCCTGTTTTTTATTTTTTTGCACTTATTCCCAAACAAAAAATATCTCCACACATCTTTTTGTATTAAAGCAGACAAAAAAATAAGTAGTCATACGTAATACATTGAGTTTGTACTGTCCATCCATCCATCCATTTTCTTCCCCTTAATCCATTTCTGGGTCAGGGGGGTGGCAGTCAGAGCTGCACCCAGTCCACAGAGTACTAGCCCCTCACTGATCCTCCTACAGGTGGTGAGTCCACAGGAGGCTTGATCTTTCAGCAGGGACCTCAGGCAAAGTGGGATTAAGAGTCTTGCCCAAGGAAACAATGACAGCAGACATCAGTGGGAGTCATGAAGTAGGTCTTATGGTGGGCTCAAACCCACGACCTTCAGGCCCAAAGGCCAATGCTCTACTAACTGAGCCACTGTCGCCCTTGAGTTTATACTGTTTTTAGCTAAACTCCAGCAGGTGGATTGCCTCAGTAATCAGTGCTTAAAAGATACATGTGTCACTGGAAGGAAGATTCTGGCTACAAAAGTTGTATTGTAATAGTACTTTAGTAGACACTAAAGGTATATCCCTTTAATAAGAAAGTGCAGTCCAGCAGTAGAACTTAAATTGAATCAAAGTCTCTCCTCAATATTTTGTTATTGAACTAATAGAATTAATTGCAGTATATTAACTGTAACTTTTGTCAGATTTAACTTAAGGCTGCAAAAAAAATCCGCATTTTTTACAATGTGTATGTACATTTTTGATTTCCACTGTAATTTCTTAGTGCGTTTTGAAGCATCTCTGTGCTTGGTGTGAGCTAATGAGAACATATTACGATAGTGAGAGCAGGGACAGAGTGTATGGTACAAAGGCTGGTCCCCAGAGGAGCTCGTCATGGCTCACCTGGCAGACAGCCGGTGAATGCATGAGAAGGCCCTTTGAATCTCAGCCTGCACCGTTTGGCTCCATCACTGTTCCTCCACGCTGATCCAGGAATGTCGGTGCTAATACTACAACTACAATATCATGTCAATATTCAACATTGTATCAAGGCTTTCTGAATGCTCCTTCCTGTCTGCCAAGTGATTCGTACTTGCTCCCAGGTCTCAACGTCCAATGGAGTCTAGACTTGTTTGAAAAATCAGCAAATTGATTAAATTATATTGCGTTTTTATTTTTGTTGTTGTTTTTTCATATTGATTACCTTTTGTTGACCACATGTATCTATCTATCTATGTATCTATGTAATTATTTATATACCGCCTTTTCACTGCAGAGCTGAGTCTCAAAGCGGTTTACAATTGTTATTTTTTTTGGGCACTTGTCTCTCACTCCACACAGAGATGGGAGCGGGGCCAGTACAGGAGGCACATGCCAGAACTATTGGACATATTTTTAGTGGTAGGGGAAACCGGAGTACCCGGAGGAAACCTACGCAGACACGGGGAGAACATGCAAACTCCACTCAGAAAGGCCCTGGTCCGACCGGGATTCGAACCCAGGACCTTCTTGCTGAGAGGCGAGAGTGCTATCCACTCAGCCACCGTGCCGCCCGGTGCCGCCCTATGTGATCAAGGGGAGGAGTTGGGTAATCTGACCTACATGTACCCCTTTTAGTATATCTGTATTATTGCTAAACATTATTATCCGAAGAACTGAACATATTTGTTCTGACCCACTTTGTTACTACACTATCTATACTGTGTCTTAAAGATATTTAGGAGGATTTTAGGAAAGAACCGCCCTCCTCAGAGAAAACCTCTATTGTGTCTAGCATATTTCACCAGAATTATTGACAAGGAGGACCAATAGTCTAGGTGATCCGCCCTGAAGTAGAAAATCCTCCCATATAACTTTAAGCATGCGTCATTAATATCTCAAGTGATGATGTCTCTGTTCTTATGCCCATTGATAGAAATCCTATAAAAAGCCTTGTCTCTTTCTTGTTCAATCTGAAGGGTGCAATTGCCGCTACCTTGTCTTCATTTCTCGACGGTCTCATTCCGTAAGTGGTCTGTGCAGATGTGGTCTGTGCGGACTGCTTAAGTGTGAATAGTTTGGAGATGTCATTTTGCTTGAACTTCACCTCAGTATAATTTTAAAAAGTGTACATTATTACATTACTGATGGTTATTGCTCAAAAACGTGATTTCTTACAGTGGGTTGACTGTATTCTCTGCTAATATTGGCACATTAAACTACATACAAGTATCTGATATGGAGCAAGAGAAATAAAAGTGATCATAAAGTATCTGCAGAATCATATAGATAGATACATTATATATTTGTATTACTGTACTTATTACTGCGATAAGATTGAA